CTTCTGCTTTCTTTTATAATTGTTCAAATCTGACTTTTTCAGGACAAGAAGAATTTAAGGAACAGAGGAAAATTTAAAGGAAGCAAAGAGTGTGTAAGTAGATATTACTATTTCATGTAGGAAATATCCCCCTCTATATTTCAAATGTGGCTCGTCATTTTTTAGAATTTTATCATGTGTTAAATTCTCTAGAACATTAAATTTCATATTTTTATATAAGGAAAACAGAAGTCAACACAAAGTTGAGCAATTGTGTTATTGTTACATAATAGAACAATCTGACTCACCACAAGATCTCCATTTCAGATTTGCCTCATTGTACATGTTTTATACTGTGAAACCTAAGTCAGGTGAGAAGGAGGTGACTCCGGAGTATTTCTTCTCTCTGTGGTCCTCCTTCTGTCACGACTTTAAGGATCTCTGGAAAAAAGAGCAGCAGTATGTTGCCAAATTAAGGTGAGTTTGAGAATCTATCCAATGGCATAATATTACAACTTGTAATTTCTATCTAATGTCATTAGAAATGTTGATATATCAAAGATATCTTGGAATCTTTTTAATATCTAGGAATTTTCATGTTATTTTTATTAGACTTCAAAAACTTAAGATCAGTGCATATGTAATTAATTTTGAAAGTCTATAATAGATTCTTTTGTTGAAATACTGTTTACTGTTCTTTAAAACATTAATAAGTACTAAGAAAGTATGACTATTTATCAATTAACCTTTCAGAGTGCAACAAGAAGAATTACGTCTGAAACAAATCAGGGAAAAGAAGCTACAGCAACCAAACACCAGGGTGCGCCGGCGAGGGGGACTGGTCAGTAATCGTTTACCTGCTAATATTTATATAATACATGTAAAAGGGATTAATGTTTTAATATGAAAATATTTGATCTTATGAATTTACAAATTTACTGGTATAAACTAGTATACAGTTAGATATCATTATCTCAAACTTGACAGGACCATGGTCAAACTTTGTACTTGTATTGTAGAAAGACAAGCTGGCAAGTAAAGGGATGCTTGGACAATGATTGTGAACCCCCCAAAGGCAATTAGTTACCCGGTACCCATTTCATTCTACAGCAAAGCAATAATAGCGGTGGTATGAGTGTTTATGTTGAAGTGTATGGTCTCATTAATGCAGCATTTGAATAGTTGTACAATCTGAGGTCATGTGACAGTCAGCATTTATTGTTATAAGGTTGTATTTATAACTGATGCATTTTTTTTGTGCATTTGCAATTTCCCTTGCTACTGTGATTTTAGACATTTTTTTACATTTACAGATTTTTATTTTATATACCAGATCTTATTGTTCTCTTTCATTCCATTTTTCTTGTGGATTGTTAAAAACACTTAACACTGTGAGCTTTCTATATTTTTATCCTGACATTCACTTTTTCCATGAGACTTTCCAGTTTTATTTATTTTTTTTTTTTCGAATTCTATCTCTTGTCAGTCTGGATAAGGTTGATAATCAGCTCAAAAGTCTGAGACATTCCAAATGTTAGCTGTTGATTAGGAGTAGGCTTGTGTGATTTATTAATGAAACTGTAGTTCATATTTCCAGAAAAAGACTTACTCTGATTTGTTTTTCTCTATTTTAGAGGACTAGTCACTTTTCTTAATTCATATTGAGTTACCTTGGTAATTGTCTATAGATTTTTTTTTTTGCATTTATTTTTTGGATCTGTTGTAATGGTAGGTGTTTGGTTTGGGATTTAGTCGTTACAGAATTTCATTTTTCACAAAAAGTTCATTGCATTTCAAGTACAATTTTAGTAAATATCCTGCATTGCATCTGTAAATTAAAATGCTGTTGACAGATTGTAAAATTTGTTCAGGTTTCCAGTGTACAATGTATATTGAATAACAAGGTTGTTTTTTCTTGACCATGCTAAATGTTCCAAATTCAAAGAAGCCTCTTGCATGCCAAAGTTGATATTCAAGTTTTTGAACAATTTACTGATATTCCTAATTAGACTCATTGATTGTAAATGTTTTTGTGAATATAAGGTAATTACAATACCTTAGAATATGCCAGTAATAATTATTTTTACATATAAACAGAGGTAAAGGTAGGAAGGTTGTATCCATTGTTAAGCATTGGTTACTACATTGTATATTCTCACATAAGGTTGTGTTCTTACAAGCCTAGAGTTCAGTAAAGCTGTTACATTTCTTATCTATGCAAGATTTTACCTCATTACTTGCAAGAGGTGTTTGCCTAATTAATTTGAATTATGTGACTATGAAGATGTGCAGTGCAGATGTATTGACTGTTTTGTTTTAGGGGTTTTTTTAGTTAGTTTCAAGATATGATTAATTATGAATATGTAAATATTCTAGAACATTTATGTGTTAAGAAAGAATAGATTCAAATTTGATAAGCAAGAAAAAGAAACATTTTAATTTAGAAGACTTCCAAAAAAAGGGTAGATGATCAAAGAAAATGTGCACAGAGCACATAAATTAAAACTGCTGAATTTAAGAACATTTTCATTGTACTTTTTTAGGGATCTTCAGAATTCCTTGATATTGCTATAATGTTTCCAATAAAATAAGATTTTTATTAAATGATGTTTTTTTTTCTAAGAGTTTTAAGGACAGACGAGAAGTTCCTTAATAATAGATAACTTTTTATAAAAGTTTGTCAATGAAGTGTTGCTACTTAAACATGTTTACTCACAAAAAATTGAGGGTACCTTACCAGGCATTTCTGCAAGATACCAGGGGTACTTTTTCTTATATAATCCCTTTGGGAAGAAAAATAATTCTCCAATATCAAATGTTTTCAAGTGTTTGGATTTTTTTAAAACGTTTAGAAACTGGTTTAGAAATCCAAATGTTATTAAAATTTTGAATATTTTCCATACATTACGAAGATATACAAAACCGATTTTGAGGAATGTCTCGTCTGACCTTAAATTATAAAATACAATTTGTACGCTGAATGCAGCTTTATTTTTTGCTTGAACAAATCCATGATTTTGAGATTTGAAGGTTACCTTAACCAAAGATGATTTTAAAAGAGAGAGAGAGAGAGATTGAAAAACCTTGAAATTTGAAAAAGTGTTAAAACCAATATCTTTTGAAAACCACAACAAAATCATCAACAGAAAATTTGCATTTAACTGAGCTTTATTGGCATCGGTTTGAATATGATATAAATAAAAGAGATCAGTTGTAAATTTAATGCATTTTACTATTTTAATGTCTCTTGTTTGTTGTCATTTGTATTTATTTGTTTTTTATATCCACTCAGAGCAAAGCTTTAATGTTATCCATTTTGTTAGATAGAAAGTTTTGTACGAAGGTAATGGAAATTGATTTTGGTTGTGAGAGCAGATTTGTGATGTTTATATACTTTTTTTCATGAATACATATATTTATATGAATAAAAAAGTCAGATAAAATATCCGATTTATTTTTATTTTTCCTTCCTTTCTGCAAATATATCACTTTTAAAGAGTAAAAGTGCATGAATTTGTTGAAGAAGTCTTATTAAGACATCTGTTATCAGTCAAGTTTTGGATTAAAATCTATTCTTACATACATGAATATGACATGGGCGTCAGAAGCAAATTGAAAGGGGGGGGCTAATTGAAAGTGTTCGGCTAAAACAACCAAAAAAAAGGTAAACCCCAATTTACAATGCATAGAAATTGTCTATATTTGCAAAAAAAAGTGGGGGGGGGCTAAGCACAAACAGGCCTTGTCTCAACAAGCTAATTCAGAGAATTCGTGTCCCCCGCTTAGGGAAAAAGTCGGCTCCCCCTGACTAAATTTGTAGAATTATTTAATGTATACATGTATACTGAAGGAAATAAAATACATGTATGTCAATATGCATATAAAGATTTGATTGCTTATTCTTTATTATGTGTATAGAAGATTTTTTTATATTGAATGTTTATCACACTGAAATGATGATTTTATAACCTCATAAATTTTTCATTTCACATGCTGAATACTATCATTTAGTAAAAAAAAAAAAGTATTTGAAGAAAAAAAAAACAAAAAAAAAAACGGATCGACCGAAATACGATCCCGGGACCTCTCACATTTGAAGCGAGAGATATAACCACTACACCACGGAGTCGCTTTACTCTGAGCGAAGTATATGCAGAATTAAAGTCACATACATGTATATATTCATGTTTTCATGTTCGGTATTCTCAAAATTTTACACAATCCATGGTGTTTGATTTATTTAGCCTTTATTAAACAGTTCTAATAGATGTAATAAGAACATAAAGTCCGCCGAGAACCTGTTTCATACGCAATAACTCTCCTCATGCCCCTGTGCTAAAAATAGCGACATGTAATACTATAAATACTAATAAAACAAGCTAATTCAGAGAATTCGTGTCCCCCGCTTAGGGAAAAAGTCGGCTCCCCCTGACTGAATTTGTAGAATTATGAAATGTATACATGTATACTGAAGGAAATGAAATACAAGTATGTCAATATGCATATAAAGACTTGATTGCTTATTCTTTATTATGTGTATAGAAGATTTTTTCATATGGAATATTTATCACACTGTAATGATGATTTTATAACCTCATAAATTTTTCATTTCACATGCTGAATACTATCATTTAGTAAAAAAAAAAGTATTTAAAAAAGAAAAAAAAGAAAAAAAAAGAACGGTCCGACCGAGATTCGATCCCGGGACATCTCACATTTGAAGCGAGAGACATAACCACTAGACCACGGAATCGCTTTACACGGAGTGAAGTATATGCAGAACTGAAGTCACATACATGTATATATTCATGTTTTCATGTTCGGTATTCTCAAAATTTTACACAATCCATGGTGTTTGATTTATTTAGCCTTTATTAAACAGTTTTAATAGATGTAATAAGAACATAAAGTCCGCCGAGAACCTGTTTTATACGCAATAACTCTCCTCATGCCCCTGCGCTAAAAATAGCGACATTTAATACTATAAATACTAATAAAACAAACGGGGCGGGGCACTTTGAGAGGGGCGAGAGACGTCCTAGGGAGTTTTGGTATAAAATTACATTGCATCAGCTCAAAATCTTCTTGAAATATCGCCCGGAAATGATAGTGTTACACACAGACAGAATGTATAAATTTACGACCTTGAACTTTGACCTTTTGACCTCAAAATCAATAGGGGTCTTCTTTAGGCCACAGGG